TTCGAAGACAGTTGCTAGAGACACTGACAGAATTAACTGATGGGACAATACTTAAACACGAATGGCTCTCGTGTTAAATGGTAAGGGAAGGAAAATGCATGAGTGAAATAATCACCGGGATCCAAATAACAGTCTAGGCCGTTGATATTGCAATGTTAGAATAAGTTCATCACGTAGTTGCCTGTAGGAAAAGGGAAACAGGGGGAAAGTTGACAGCCTGGTTTCATACGGCAGTGCTCCCACAACTTTTCTCAATTTGTCGCTCGTCTCTAGACCTTCTCTAAGACTTTGTAGTCCATGGCAGTCCATGGTCTCTACGCCTGTATGGCGTATCCTAGATGCGGCCGCAAGAATGGGCCAAATATCTTGGAAAAGCAGTCAGTGCCATATGCAATAAAGGCTCGCTCGATGAGCTGCGATCATAGCGATTTACAAACTGCCTTGCGGCCCTCAGGAGGGGGGGAGGGGAGTTCTTACCTTGGACGGCAGTACCGCAGGGACCAATAGCTGCCTGTGGGGGAATCACCGTGTAGCCGGATTGGGCGAGTGCCTTGAGCACAATAACCAGGGCCACAGAACTGGCTCGGAAGCGAATGTGCTGCGGACGGACACACAACTCCTGCTTGCAAGTATGCACCATGATGTTGGTGTCCGTGCTGGACATTGGCAGTCCGTGGTAAAGCATGCCCACTATCGTATCCAACCGCCAAACCTGAATGAGTTCAGAAAGAGATAAATATAATTAAGCAACACAGCGTTTTCGGCGGTAATGTTGTTAAAAGTCAAGTACTCAATACTTCGGTAAACGTTCGCGAGAAATATCATATTCTGAAGATTTTGACAAAATAATCTTTATTGTATAAATTTTCGAGACTGGTTCCCCATGCTCGTCTTCAGACTATAGGTAAGCAAAAACAATTAACTGAGTCTGACACAACTGTGAAAAACTCTGTGCCTCGGTGGGATTCGAACCCAAGACTGCATGGGGAGGCTGTAGTACATCCAACACTCTAACCATCTGAGCTACGAAGCCCCACCGGAAGAAGTGAGTTTAATCGCATTTGGGTCAAGTTATCCGCCAAACCTACTGCAGAGTCTGGAATCCACCAAATCTGATACAATAAGCTGACTGCTCAAGTGAATTATTTGAAATCTGCCAAAACACCTCTGAATTACGTGAGCCTGGTAGTCATTTGGTGGATTCCAGATGTATTACTTAGGGAATCCTGCTAGGGCAGTCAGCTTAATGTATCAGATTTGGTGGATTCCCGACGTTGCAGTGGGTTGGACGGGTAAACTTGACCCAAATGTGATAAAACTCGCGTCGTCCGGTGGGGTCTCGTGGCTCAGATGGTTAGAGCGTTGGCTGTACTCAAGCCTCCCCTTGCTGTCGTGGGTTTGAATCCCACCGAGGCGCCGAGTTTTTCACAGTTGGGTCAATATGAATTATTCAAAATCTGCCATAACATCTCAGGATTCTATGATTGACCTAAGTCTGTTCCAATGCGTGTTAATTGCAATTCGCCATCTCCTCGGGGTTGGCTAAACCAGCTTGAAGGCATGCCTCATTTGAGTGCACTGACTCCAGGAATTTGCGGGCCTTCCTTATTGGGAAGGCGCTAACAATGCGAGTTTTCTCCCATGCAAATTTGCGCCCACTGTTCAGTGTGTGCATGGCCACCTGGGATAAATGGTCGCGTCTCTTCACCGCTAACTGATGTTCATGAATACGGGTTGGGACAGATGTCCCAGTTTGGCCACATCAGACGGAATCACAAACTGGAAGATGAGATTTTGTAGACAAATGCAACGCACAAAACCTACAATTATGCGTGGGCGACTGAAAATACTGAGCGGCTTATTAGCCAGTACCGGCCAGTCATACCTAACTCCAGGTGTGGATCATCTGAAATTGGAACCCGGAATCCTCGGTCGTTGCGTGCGACACTAACATTGAGGCACGGGTCCATTGTGCTGCCGGTTTTGATCAGTGAGATTCCCTCTACAATTGTAAACTCTCGATCGCAACCGGTAGAACAACGAGCACCTGGCTTAGTGGTTAGAGGCATCGCGGGATCGGGCCCCAGGTGTCCCACACTTTGGGGTTGGGCAAGGCTGGATGACGAAAGCCAATCCAGTCTCCCTTGTATTTTTTTCGGTAATGTTATTCTGCCTAGATGCATGTATACATACATGCTGTTAGAAGGGCGCTCACCGATCATGTTAGGGAAGTCACTCGTCCCGTTGTCTTGGGGCTCTCTCTAAAGACCAGCCAGCAGCAACACAGTGGCGCGTGCTATAGGCGGAATAACATATATATGCGTATAGTGATCGCCATGGCTAACACCAGAATGGTATGGGAATCCTTCAAAGCTTGGTGCTTCACTGAGGACAGTAAGAACCGCTAGGTCGACATAGACATCCATTAAAAGGGTCTCCGATCACAGTGGACTGACTGGCGCCCGTCTCAAAAACAACAACTGCGAATGCATGCACGGACATGTATGATCAGGCCAACACACCAACCCTTCCTCCTCACCCTCCCGCCAACATGATGAGCCAAAACTGAGACCCACGGAATCTCTCCTCACCCCCGGCACACATAACAACACGATGCACATCACCCACCTCGCAAGGTCGTCTGCTTATCTCTTTGTCTGCGTCCTCAAACACCAGTATGACAATCCCACCCCCATGTATTCATTTCCTTTGACGACGGATTGGTGTAAACAGCTCGAAACTTTAAGAGACTGACTCTCCAGCTCGTCGTCAAACTTAGGGGTCATGCACAAAAACAGTTGAATATTTAACCGTGTTGAACAGGCGATTCTGTGGTTGGCCGACGCCTGAGCCAATGTGCGCCAAGCGTATTCCTTCATCCCCTCGACATTGGCTACGCTCGCTTGCATTCCTCCTTGAGAAATTTGCATGTAGCATCTTAATCGATATGCCGATTGATGCCTGCCTCATCTGAGATGGTTACTCTTGAAGTGTGGAATGACCTCTGATTATGTTACTTTGAGATAGAGACTCCCGTATGAGACGATCCATCAGTTTTTCTACGTAGAAGGCCATCCAGAAATGGGAGATGTTCATCAGTCTCCGTTTCGAGAGAAAACGTGATTCCTGGTTCTTCATGACAATGACTCAAGTGTCATCAACATAGCGCAGCCAGAGTTTTGAGTTAACTGTGGCAAGAGCTATGAATTCTGCTATATGAGCGAACCCATAGGAGCTCCTCTCAGTTTCTGATGGCATTGGTTGGCGAAAAAATGTTAGTTTCTAATTGTTTTCTTTGAGTATGTAAAAATCACGCAGGAGTGAACGCAAACCGTTGTTAGCTTCCCGAAGCGTTACACGACCCCAACCCCGGAAGGACAGAATCCCAAAATATTGAGACAAGAGAATAACCGCCCGGCTAGAGAAACACTTGAGGACCACCACCAGTCGTGGTGTACTCAGCCATGCAGCCTACTAGGTCCTCAGGGCGCGGTGAAAATCATAATCATAGACTGACCCAGGGATAGGAGAAAGCAAACAGGAGGCAAACGTGGACGGATAAGGATTCGCTTGCGTAATGAACACTATCCGAATAAGCGAACTAGATTGACGCCCGTGGGACGACAGGCAAGAACGACGCAAACGTTGGTGAACACAGTTGACACCCAAGAGCCGCCACCCGACTGCTAAACACGATTGATGAAGGGACCTCCCTCAGCGGCCAGGACTACGGTGGTTACCCTGTAGCTAAAGCGAACGTCACGCGTAAAATACTACGAGGCCAGGTGCAGTTCTTGCTACTCAAGATGAAAGCTTGTCTGTTTATGAAACATAAGCACAAAACAGCGTGCTTCTCAAGATTGCCTATTCATTTGTGCCCATGAAGGCGCATTTTTATCGCTACTACGCAAAATATTCACATATAATATTCACATCCACCCAGTACCGGGTTTGGTTCAGGTGATTCAGTCACAAAACATGAGGGCGGAATAAAATAAGAAGAGGTCGGTTTCTGATCGGTTTTTGCGTTTCCGCACAATTAACGTGACAGATCTGTGAAACGATCGCCGTGTTAGCTCCAGATAGTTGAAAGTGCCCTCTATGGGTATAATAATTGAGTCTCACAGCGGCCAAAATATCTCGAGTTGACTTTCATTTTTGTTCACGCGACAAGTATCTTAGTAGATGGTTGGCTTCGGTCATCTGTCCTGGTCTGGTGACCGGGGGCAGTAATTAGACGGTCAGTGAGAGACCCGAGTCTGCACATGCAGTATCTACTTTTGTCTCTGATGATGGGTTCGAGCAGGAATCCGAAAGGTCGGGAGAATAAATCTCTTGTTTCAGCGATCATGTCTCCTTCTTCACGACTGTTTCCTAGGACTCGTCTCTTCGCTTCTAGTGGATATCTACTGCCTGTCTGAAGTCCGAATCGTACCTTCAGGAAAGAAAGATCCCAGGGATCGAGGCCCACTTTACCTTACACCACAGCGTCCAACGCAACTCTTCTGGTAGACACGGTACGGTGATCGCCCTCTCGGAACATGCAAACCGTGCGCTACTGAAATGAAAACCAGCACATGATGGCTTGCGTGCGACGAACATCTCTGCCGTCTCCGTGTACGCACCGATACCAGCCGTCGAACAGCGCGATAAAGATACTTTTTACTCGCAGCCGCAGAAATTAGTTAAAAGGGTCCCTCGTTAGCGGGGACTGGAACGGCTGAACTGGATCTGGCTTAGTTCTCGATGCGACAAATGTGAGAGAATGTTAAATTTTTCTGACCAGAACCGACTGTTTCTCACTAACACGTACTTCCAGCATCACCAAAAACATCTGCTGAGCTGGCACTCAAACGACCGCCACACGGCAAGTCCATGATAGCAAATCCATGAGTGGTGCCGAAACTGGTAACCCCTATGGGTCTGACCATGTTCTCGCTCGCACATGTCTGAAGTTCACCTCTCATCTAAACCCAAAATGCAACGTGTGAGACCTCTTGATGTCGAAAAACTTCGACAACTCATCAGCCTATGGGAGAGCTGAGAAAATCCTTGGATTCACGCAGCGGCGCCGCAGCGACTGCGTCAACGGAAGCACCCTGCAGTTCTCCGTCCAGACGACTCGAGTCCGATCCCATAACGATGGCTTCTTCCGCCAACTCCGGGAGGAACTGACAGCAAAGTGTGCAAGGAATGACCGGAAGAAATATTGGACTGAAACATCGGCCTCCATGAAGCAGGTCTCACACGTTGGTCACGGTAGAAAACTCTATCAAATTGTTGGCCAAGTTAATGGTATGTCCTCCGTAATTAGCACGCTTGTTCGCGATGTGAATGACGGCTTTAGTGCTGACAACTCGGCCAAGGTTGGTCGTTGGTGTGATCACTTAGAGCACCTTCTCAATTCTGGTGAGGAGCTCATTAAACTCTCGTTCTCCTCTGCAGCGGAGTTTTATTCCGATCCGACCTATGCAGTGGCATGCAACCCGCCCTTTGGGAGAGAAATTGCCGATGCAATACAGAGGCTGCACAAAAAGGCGCCCGAGGTGGACCGAATTCCCCCTGAAATCTGAAATTCGTGTGTCGACACTCTGTTGATCTGGTTCAATGAGGTAATAGATCAAGCGTGGAAAGATAAGATAGTTCCCTTTGGAGAAGGAGACACGATCGCCGATCCCTTTATCTGCGACTGTCTCTGATGATGGATTCGAGTGAGAATCCGAAACGTCAGGCCAATAAATTTCTTTTTCCAGTGATCGCATCTTCATCTTTTATAGTTCCTAATAACTGGGGCTAGGACTGGAGCCAGTTTTCAAGAAAGGAGGTAGGGCAAAGTGCGAGAACTATCGCTGCATAAGGCTCATCGATGTTATTGCGGATGACTTCACTGTTATCCTTGTCAGACGATTCTAGTCCGTTCATGACTCTAGGACAAGGTCCAACGACATTGTCTCCCGAAAGCATGCTGCTGGGAGGGTTTTTTCGATCCTTAGAAAGTGTCAATGGACCCGGCGTGGCGTCCCTATCGCCACAAAGGTTCGCGCGTACCGTTCACCCGTTCGGTCAGTCCTCCTCTACGATTGTGAATGCTTGGCTTTGCGCGTGGAAGACAAGCAGGAACTGGAGGTAATTGACCACCGCTGTCCGAGGACCATCCTTCGAGTGAAGTACACCGACTTCGTCTCAAATGAGACAGTTCGCACCCGCTGTGACAATATCGCAGGATATCCCAGACCATTCAAGAAAGACGTCTGGGGAAGTTTGGGAAAATTCTCCGTCGTCCGTCCCAGGAGCTCAATTATACTGCCCTCGATCCGGCATTGCTACCAAACTGGAGGCATCGAAGAAAGGGTCAACTCAAAACCCGGCTCGACACATGGAAGTGACTCTCGGACCTTCGGTATTCGGTCTCCGTTGTTGGTGAGGATAATGGGTTGAGGAGTCCAGATCTGTTGCCGCGAATTGACACGGGTGGAGAAGTACAGTTCAGGACATCATCGAGGCCGGTTAGATGACGCATAATCACAGCCGCATCAAGTAGAAGTGCAAGTGGTATGCTAGATTTAATGAGCCCGCTCGAATCTCAGGTGTTCAACATTTTGAGTTGAGCCTGACTGGCCGATGACGGCCAACAAGCCGGAAATGGCCATTTCGGTCTCCCTTGTTTTCGTCGGTACTGACATATACATAAGTGTAACATTGATTGGACCTCAAGGACTGTATGCGCCTGCTATTCCAGGATCAGCAAACTAGGGCTATTGCACCTGGTTCCCTGATGGTAGATGCACTTGCGCTTCCGCTGGATACACAGGTCGTGAGCATGTCTGCCCGGTAATCCTTGGGCCTCACGATTTGTTGTCTCAATGCTGATTTCGGTTTATGATCCATGCTAATCCCGAGATTTTTCAGAATTCTCGCCGTCGCCCCCGCGCTGCATAAGTAAGATTTGGACTGTCGGCAACTAGACGACGATATTGCCATCGAGGGGGAAGGGAGGGGGGAGCTGGAACGCAAACGCGAAGAGGTCGACAAAAATTGGACGTAAGGGTTCCAAGTAGTCGCTCCATGACATTTATTAACAGAAGCATCGACAACCGAAATTGACCAACTCAATAATTTCACCGGGTCAATTCTCCCGTGAATATCTGTCAATCGCAGCCAGTAGCGGACGTCGAGGCGCGCAATCCTGTTCAACTCCCTCAAGCAGGTGTTGAGTTTACGCTGGATTCGAAAAGGGGCAACTAGGCTGCATCGAATGAGTGCTCTAGTGAAATCAGTTGGTGTGGTGTTAGGGCGAGGGGAGAGAGAGAGAGTGGGAATGGTTAGACGTCGGTTTTGGTGAGACTTTTCTGTCACAACCCAACTGACGTACACTTAGGCTACGACGTCGACGTTTGGGAGGTGATAAGCTCATTTTCCCTCCAATGCAGCCGCCTGCAGATAGGACATAGAAGCGCGTGGGGCCTGCTCCGCCTTTGACAGAAATTAGTACATGTGGCTGGTGACAAAAAATTGCAGTTTCGTGATGTTCTGTTTCGTTCATGGGCACTGCCAACAATGACAACTTCTGAAATCACGAAGTAGCTTTTAGGTCAACCGACCTAGAGAAAAGGCTATCTCCACCAGGAAAACTCCACGGTGTACAAATTACGCCCGGGAGCAGTGACGAACTGCACATGATTTGGATCAGAGGCAGATTGGCGCTACCCCGACGTCATTAGCTCTTCCAAATGCCCGTTTTGCAGTGGCCAGACGAGGCGATGGGCGTGAGCGCAGTGGCTGACAAGTCATTTCGGGGGGTGCGGTGGCAGAACCGGTTGTCGACAGACGTCGCTCACACTGGGACTCCTGTCCTTTCCCCCCATTGTTGTTGTTGTGTGGACCAGGGAGTGTGAAGTGGAACGCCAAGGTGCGGGCTCGACCGTGCCATCCACCTGCGCCCTCCTCCCCCCCCGCCTCCGGTCTTCTTGACTATATCTTGACACCGGGCTCAGGTGGGGGAGGAGGAGAGGGCGGTAGATGCTGCGGAAGTCTACATTCACTAATAAACCGGTTCACGCGCAAGTTACCGTCCCTGATCCGCCTTGCTGTGGAGCACACGGTGGACATCGTCGGAAAAGACGGCTGAACTGTTAGACGACGAGTCATTCTTCGCCCCTCAGGTCAGTGGGTGTCACACGTACTGGCCTGATCTTACTTACTTGATACGGCTGCGATCATGCCTGATCTAGCCGGCCTCGATGATGTCCCGAACTGTGCCTCTCCACGCGTGACGATCCGCGGCAGCAGAGCTGGACAGTTCAACCCATTCCCTTCGCCAACGACGGAGACCGAATACCGAAGGTTCAAGAACCACCTCCATGTCTTGACGGACAGTGTCGAGCCAGGTTTTGAACTGACCCCCTCTTTGACGCCTCCAATGGGGCAACGGTGCCGGATCGAGGGCAGTAACACTGAGCTCCTGAAGTGGACGACGAAGAACATGCCCGGGTTGGATACCAGTGTCGCAACACTCCGTTACTGATGCTAGTATTATTGCAGTTAGTTACCCATACCGTAAGCGTTGGTAGAGTAGCATTGGCAGCCGTGGTGGCGGTGGTAGTAGTAGTAGTACTAATAGTAGGATTATTAGTAGTATTCGCCGTATCAGTGGTGGTAGACGGGGGAAAAAGTTTTCTTCAGTTTTGCGACACTGTATTCCCGCCAGTGGTAGTAGTATTAGTAGTAACAGCGGTAGTAGTGGTAGTAGTAGCAGTAGTAGTAGTGGTAGTGGTAGTAGTAGTATTAGTGGTAGTAGTAGTCCGCCCGTAAAACAGGCTGGTGGGGGAATAGACAATTCTAAGTGTTGGGACACTGTATTCCCGCCCATGCCCGAACTGGTCTGTTCTGGCATTGGCGTCTATACCTCAGAGGTGAGGCAGTACAATGGATAGGTAACTGGGTCTCCGCATGTTGATCCCATGCATGTAACAACAGGTATAGACGTGCTGGACCCGCGCAGTCTGCTCGACGTACCCCAAGACTGTTCTCGTAAGCAGGGATGGACGAAGGGGGATAAAAACCGAAAGTTTGAGAGGCAATGTAGCCGGCAAGGGTGCAACAGGAATGGAGGCGAGAAAAGACGTGCACCTCTGCAGGAAGGGGGCTCTCGCAAGCGCTCAGTAGGCAGTCCTACTCTCCCACGGCCTTTGATATTGCCCCAAACAGTGATACGCACGCATTTGCTCAGAGAGGGAGCAGTGGAATCCCATAAAAGTGGCACGCCAGCGCGCGCGGGCGCGTGAACAGAAACGCTAAATTTCATTAATTTAACCCAAAAGCAATTAGCCTGCGTGCGCACACACGCATTAACTCTTTGCTGTCAGGCAAACGACAGAGCATCTAGAGAGGGAGTGGAAGTAGGGAGAGTAAGGGGGGGGCGGCGGGGAGGGGAGGGGGAAGTGAAAACGGCCCTTAGCGAGCGTTACCGGTGTTGCAACAACTACGACGGCCTGATCAAAGGCGAATCAGCGCACAGCAGCTGGGCCGATTTCGCGCACGCACGAACACTCTCCAAGGGCCCGAGAAGGAGCTGCACGGTAGCACGCGCGGGGGCGGGGGTCGGCCTAAAAAGGTGCGCCGCCATCCCCGACCAGGTCAGAACTGCTTCACGCCGGACCTGACGGGCATCTCCCGTCGCCCAGGAGTTCCCGCAGTGAGAATGTAAGCACAGACAGACTGGTTGCCTAGACCACAGATTCATACTACAGACATGGTAATGCCGAAATTTCTTCCCGCCAACGACTCGACTACAACACATGGAGAACTTACAAATTAGAACGGGTGTAATAACCGAGCAGTGAGGAAGAGACTGCCATGAGAGTAGCCGAACGCGGGGCTGTCCAAGCCTTGCGGTTTGGTTTGAAAGTGTACAGCGCCCTGGTAAAAGTCATGGCGGTCCCAACCATGTTTTTTTCTTGCTGAGTTTACTACAGTCGCGTTAACTACAGGGAATGGCGACAAAATATTTGCAGCAGAGGAGGAGGAGTAGGTGGTGATATAGACGTGGCGGTTACACCAAAAGCTTCACAGCGTTGCAGGCAGCCGACTCTGAACTGTACAGCCTAGTATGCCGAAGTGTGGAAATGCCTATCCCCGAGGGCAGAATCTACGGGCCGCGCGGCTGTGGCCCGAACGCACCGACCGAACATCACAAAAGCCACAAGGAGCAACTTCCTGTCCAGCTCAAGCGGAGTTCGCGGCGGCGTCAGGGTGGGGGCGCAGAGGTGACCTGATTGTGAACTGACCTCTAGAAAGGCAGACTCGTGAAATATCTATCTTACGTTTTCCCCCACCAAAACCCACCGTATTGCACACGTGTCCCTCACCCCTCCCCCCCCCCCAGGGTCCGGTGTAAAGACAGAATCCATAAAACCGGAGGCGGGATTGGACACACATGGCCAGTGCGGCGCGAGTAAGCGCCTTGGCGTGCCACTACACCCCATGTATGAGATTTATTATGGGGTGAGCAGCCCAACAACGCATGTCGCACCCCGACCTGGTCACCGTGTTGGTTTGAGGCAACTCCTGCGCT